GCGTACGATCCGTTTGCGGTTCCTATTTCAACCGCGCGCGAACGCGAAGCGTCCGTAACGGATTGTTCGCGAATCACCTGTGAAGTGAATAAATTTTCAGATTGACAATGGGCCGTGATTTGCATGCCATGTCTCTTCATTATGTCATGTTCATTCCTACTCTTCAAGGTAATCATGATTTTACAGTTAGAATTTTTTCCATGCATGCTAAATTATCAAGCCGGATCTTCAGGTCAAACCGACGATGAGCAACTTGACGAATGGCTTACCAAGGCAATCTCTCGTGCAGTGGTAGGAACTTATGCTCAAACTGAGCTCGGGCATGGAACAAATCTCTCGAAGCTGGAAACTACAGCCACCTATGATTCGGCTACAGAGGAGTTTGTTTTGAATTCACCCACTATCACTGCAGCCAAGTAAGGCAGTTTTGAGAATTGATAAGAATCTTATGCTTTCCCTTTAGATGGTGGCCTGGAGGCTTGGGCAAGTCGTCCAACTACGCTGTGGTTGTTGCACAGTTGTACACAAAGGGAGAGTGCAAAGGACCACATCCGTTTATTGTTCAACTCCGCGATGATGAAACTCATATGCCATTGAAGGGAATCCGTTTGGGGGATATTGGACCAAAGCTTGGTATTAATGGAAATGACAATGGGTTTTTGTTATTCGACAAAGTTCGCATCCCAAGAAGAGCACTTTTGATGAGATACGCTAAAGTGAAGCCAGATGGAACTTATGTGGCTCCGGCTCACTCGAAGTTGGGCTATGGAACCATGGTGTTTGTGAGATCTATTATGATTAAAGATCAATCAACACAGTTGGCAGCCGCAGCAACAATCGCCACTAGATATGCCTCTGTCAGACGACAAGGAGAGATTTCTCCAGGGTTGGTAATTTGAAATCCTGAAAAAGTGGTGCAAAACTTTTGGATTTGTGTGAAACTTCCAGAGTATACTAAACAAAAGTAGAGCTTCAATTTTGTAATTGACAACTTTTTTCTACAAACCTAACAAAACAAGATATATCCTTTTAGACTGGCACAACTTTCAGTTCAGTATCAATTTTAGAATTTACTTTGGTTGCAGAAGCATATCTCACCAGAATGAAAATTGGCAAAAAAGTTGTCAACTACAAAGTTGAAGCTCTTGTTCTATTATGTAGACTTGAAAAATTTCTGCCTTTCATAACAAAGTTTACCATATTTCGTAGACATCCAAAGTTATCTATCTATTTTCAACTCAAATTAGTAAAAGTATTGACCTTCACTGTAAGATAAAAGTATTTTAATATATTTGTGATTTCAGAAAAGGAGAAGTACAAATCATTGACTATCAAACCCAGCAATTCCGCGTCTTCCCTCAAATGGCTCGCGCATTTGCTTTCATGGCAGCCGCCACTGAGATTCGTGACCTCTATATGACTGTCACCGAGCAGCTCACTCATGGAAACACCGAACTACTGGCCGAGCTCCATGTTCTCTCCTCAGGTCTAAAGTCAATCGTTTCCTGGGATACCGCACAAGGAATTGAGCAGTGCCGCTTGGCATGCGGTGGTCATGGATATTCCCAGGCGTCTGGTTTCCCAGAAATTTATGGATACGCAGTTGGAGGATGCACCTATGAAGGAGAGAATCTTGTGATGCTTCTTCAAGTGGCTAGGTGAGCTAGGGACTTAAAGGTGGTGT